TGGATGGATGGATGGATGGATGGATGGATGGATCAACAAAAAACATACATAGTTACATACCCAGACCGTCGGTAGACCAAAGAATGTCCAGAAGACGCTATCTTTACCGTTGGTAATCTTGGGAGTGATAACAACTTTTTTTTTCAAACCATAGAGCGTTGTGCATGTGGCCCCAACCTTAACAGTCACTGGAGTAGTTCCTTTTAATTCGACGAAGCATTTATACTTATTAAGTAACCACAGCCCATCAGGGAGATAAAATGTCACAAAAAGGTAGGCACCGTGTCTATTTTGTCTGATCGGAATCATTGGTGTTAAGGTAAGTTCCTGATAAAAGGGTTCCTCGCATTCTGAGATTATAAGTGTAGAAGGAGTGACCTAGTAAAAAAAAGAAAGAAAAACGTATATTTTGTTTTACGCCTGTCCAATATTGGTATGGAAATCTACTGTAGTGGAGATGTTTTCAATGGCAGTTGTTAGGTTGTTTAGAAAAAAATGTAATATTAGTCAATAGCCCAGTGCTAGTTATGTCACAAAGGAACAGAGCTAGTATTTCTCGGTGTGTCTTTGTAACAAAGCTGATTGCTTATATTGTAAATAAGAGTTAAGATCATTATTATGGTTAAGGTTTCAAACGAAGAAAGACGCGTACGGCATAACAAGAGGACAAAGCTTAGGCTTAGGTTTAGGCCAAGGCTTGCGCTTAGGCGTGCTCTAAGCTTTACCTCAGAATTGTGCCTAGGCTTATCTTTGAGGAAAGGTTCATGGTCTGGCCTATTTTTATGTTAATCGCAATTATAACAAAATTCTCGAATCGGATTGGTCATCAGCAGCCCTGATTTGAGCCTTACTTGGACAGTTGCACACGCCATGCACTTGTAATTGGAGAGTTGTACGCGTCATGCCTAAGTAATTGGACAGTACGCATTATGCCTGAGTAATTGGAGAGTACGCGTCATCAAGTGCGTGCTAATTGCACTTGAATGGGTTATCTTTTTCAGCATCTAGCTTAGAAGTTGAATATATTGTCCTGTCCAATAGTTTATACCATTGTCATATTCTTCTCGAATTTTGTTATAGTTACGATTAATTAGTAATAGGACTTTGTGTCGTACAATTCAGGGATAATCGTGATCTTAAATTTTGAAATTACTCGCTCGACTACTCCCTGAATTGTACTCCACTCAGTCCTATTGCTATTACTAATGCGTATTGGTTACTTTTCTGATTATGGTAACTACGCCTATGGCCATGGCTATGGTTATGGATATGGCTAATGGCTATGGCTATGCTCAACTACGCCATGGAAAACAAAAGGGTCATTCGCATTTTCGCAACCCAAAAATAATAATTATTAAAATACAAACACAGCCATGAACACTTTGAACATCAATGCCGAGCTATTTTATAAGTACACATACATCACTACCTACCTTTATGCCAGCGAAAAATGGCTTAACAGGCGTCACAATATCAGACCAAGGATGGTTCAAGGTAGTAAATCTTGCTTTAACTTTGCAAGATATCTGAAATTACGGCCATTCAGTTATCCATCAATCAATCAATCAAACAATCAATCAAAAGTTGGAAGATATTCTCCGACTCAGCGTGTTCAAATATTTTTCAAAAGAAAGGAAATGTTTAATTTGCTAATTCAATTCCTGCTTGAATAGTGCAAGGATCGGATTAAGGTCCGGGGTTTGTAAAACTCCTCACCCTTTTGTTAAGCAATATCCAGTTACGCAAGTTTTAATTTTGACGGGGTAATCTCCTATTGTGGAGACATTGAAAATTCTGAGACAGGGCGTTTGAGAAACGACAACTTGATGAACTTTATGTGACGTGGTGATCTTATTACGCTGATCAAAGCTTTAAGACGGAATTCGACAGAAGTTTGAGTAACAAGTGGACAAAAACTTTGTACCAAGATTATTTACATCGTATTGCAAACTCCACTACGACTGTTTCAAATATCTTCTCAAATTAAAAAAAATCATTTCTAACAACACCCAACGTCGAAAACAAATGTTGAACTTCGCATGAATCACCTGAAAGTACTGGTGAAATGAAACTAATGATGAAATTTTACCTGCATTTGCACAATTTCTGTGAACTTTGAAGTTTGTTTTCTCTCGTTCCCAAGGGAAATTGTTTTCTGTGTTATTTCAGGCAACCATTTATATCTTTAGCTTTAAGAAAATGTAAAAAGGACTGTAAAATACTTAAAATTATTCTAGTACCAGATTTTTGTCCACTAAGAACTGAAATTGCTCGATTTTCTATCGTATTTCGTCTTAATACTCAAGAGATTCCTGAGAGCCAGGGTGAAAGCTCAAGAGATTCCTGAGAGCCAGGGTGAAAGCTGAGGATCAGTAGCTGCTTCTTCTTCAGTGTAAGCCGTTAAAATACAGATTGGGATAAACACTGTTACCTCAACGCTTGCTAATGTATTGGCTGTAAAAAGTAAAACCTGTAATATTGAATTCGATTCCAGCCGCACGTCTACTTAAAGGCCATAAGGAATTTCAATTTTAAAATTGTCCATTGCTCTTTTGAATTACCTAAAAATTCTTACCCATTGTCCAGGCTCATAATAGAAACCACTTCCTTTAAGAAGTGAACGGATTTCTTTTTCATTTGGGCATGGTTTATTGTTCTCCCTTTGACCTGTTGCTGGCTTACAGAACGGTTCTTCTGTAAATGCTGTTTTCTTTCCGTCTGCATACCACTCAATTTGATATGTAACATTCTTCCATGCCCTTATTGTCTTATCGATAGGCACTACACAGAGCAGAGAGACTGCTTCCTCTTGAGAATCCTTGACTTTTATCTCAGGACGGCCCAGGTAGATGCTGGATATTTTCTGTGGTGCAACTAATCGAGAAATACAATTATTCGAAAGTCTATTGTATTAAACAGGGTGAATACTTTGAAGGAAACTTTCAATAAACTCTTGAGAAACTTTCTTTAAACTTAAGATTTAATATTGAACTTATTTAATACTAATACTAATAATATATTTATATATTGCAATAATGTTGTTGTTCCTATTTTCAGAATAAACTACTGTTATAAAGTTATTTCGTAGAAACACGTGTGAGTCATTTAACCGAGACTTGTTTTAACGAAATAAGACATTATCAGCTCACTCACCATAACATGTTGCTAACGATGTACCCCTTTGTCCATAGGGACAAGGTATACCATCTCCTGTAACATAAACAAGCGTAAGTGACGTAATACTGGCATGTATACATTAGCGTTTTTTCTCGTGCATTTTTACCATTACGATTACAATCTCATCTTTAGCCAAGAACCTGAGACGTATCCAAAGACAACAAAGTATCCAATCATCTGTTCCCTGTTTCAACAACGTCGTTAGCCTAATGAATGCACCATACCTCTTTTATCGTTCTACATCATTAAAAACGGATTTAGAGTTACGGACGTTAGGGTCTAATTCATTGTAATTAAGGGATCTGAGACCCAAGAACTATATTTTGAGATTTCTAGTGGCCTCATATCTTACTACGCCAATAATAAACATTGCTACCAGTATGCTTTTCGACAAAATTCTATATGGTGTGTCTCAGTAAAGCGGATCCAATAAGACAACAAAAAGTCAAGTAAAAGTTAGAAATACAACGGACCGGAATTTTAAATAAATTTGAAGTTTTACCAAATGATAAAGATGCCTATAATACACTGCAATGTCCCGAGATTTGTAACCATTTACGTTTTATAAACTAACGAAGGCGACGGTATAAAAATCAATTCCCTTCACAAATAGATTTGCTTGTTGTACACACTGCCTCCAATAAGCCCAGAAATGGTTAAATGATTTAAAATGAGTCACGATTATCTCGAGCTCTTAGTCGCAGTTAATATTTCGGCCAAACAACGACCCGAGCAGCCCTTTTAATGGTGAGTTATAAAAATCCTAATGCTCTAATTACGGGCCTCGCAGTTCTATCCTCGGATTTCAACGTTGTGGAAAAAGACAGACAAACAAACTTCGAGAAATGTGCCAAACCGTTCAGCGTGATTTGCTCAAAACAAAGTGGGATATGAATACTCATGAAACTAGGAGGGATATATTAATTATTTTGCTTTGAAAAAGAGTAAAAGATGATGCGAGGTGTTACATGGTAAAAATTTCAAACAGTTTCCATTCAATTTACATTTTCTTACCAGCGCAGTAGGCGACGTCACATTGGTAAGTCGGTTGAAGATAATAAACGAAAAAGTCAGGATTTCCGGAACAGCGCTTGACGCTTACGTGGAACGAAAAGCGACAACCATTTCTCCAATTACGGAAGTTAACACAGGCTTTGATGCTAACCACAGGGTCAGTAGAGCTGGCGGGATGGTTGCCAGTGGTGCCATCTAGCCAAACTGGAGATTGGGTGCCACAACGGTTTATGTTCACTTTGTTGGTCGGCATCTGCCCCCCGACAAAGCTAGTAAAACGGTACCATCCAACTGCAAGATCCTTGTCACACAATGCAACTTGACCTGATTTCCACTTACTCTCCACGCTGCGCCGAGAATTGTCAATCTCTTTGTGATT